TCCCCACTCCCGCCCCAGCTCTACTCTTGGTATCACCAGAATCAGGATCTTCTTTGGAAACTGGAATCACTGGTCTTGGGAGCCAGAGGGAGAGGCCCCCGGATTCTGCTGGCTCAGGGATCTCTGTCCCCCTACTGCGGCCCCCACCTGCCCATACTCCAGCCGGGGGCTCATCCTCTTTCCTTTCTCTCCCTCACTCTCACTCACTGACCTTCGGGTTGGGTTTGGGAACCACCTCTCTGAAGGTACTCTTGGTTTTTGTATTTGTTTGCTTTTTTTTTTATTTGGGGGGCCACATCCCACAGTGCTCAGAACTTACCCCTGGCTCTGTGCTCAGGGATCACTCCTAGCAGGACTCAGGGCAACAGATGGGGTGCTGGAGATCCCATAGGCAAGTTTACCGGCTGTACTCACTCTCCAACTCCAGAGGTGCTCTTGGGAAGATACTAGTAGACTAAAAGCAATAGGACCAATAGGGCAAAAAGGGCGCAAGGAGTGAGATGCAGTTCCAGCCAAACACAGGCCTAAGGAGACACCAGACAGCTCTATAGCTGGACAGCCCACATAGAGCCACAGGCAGTGTCCAGCTCCCTGCACGGCACAGCCCCTACTTACTCCTCCCCGGATGCAGTACCCACACCACTGACATCACCCACTTCAAAAGACCCCAGAGCTCTGCTCATTTCTCCTGTTCCTGTGGGAGGTTGGGGTCCCCTCTTCTCCTGTCTCCGGTCACCCTGCCTGGCTCCAACCCGCCTGGGTCTTTCTGCACCCTTGACTCCTTCCCCACTCAGACTAAGAGCTTCAGCCTGTCCTCTCCACTGTGTCCAACTCACTTTCACCCCCAGCCAAAGTCTCCTCTTTTTTTTTTTTTAATTTTTTCATTTTATAAGTTAGTTCACAACATTTGATTACATTAAATATTCAAACACCAATCCCACCACCATTACATCTTCCCACCACCAAATTCGGGATGTTTCCATCCCAAGCCCCAAGCCGTGTCGCAAAACACAACCAAAATAATATATTTTGTATTGTCTGGAGCGATAGCATAGCGCGTAGGGCATTTGCCTTGCACGCAGCCGACCCGGGTTCAATTCCTCCATCCCTCTCGGAGAGCCCGGCAAGCTACTACAGAGAGTATCCCGCCTGCATGGCAGAGCCTGGCAAGCTCCCCGTGGCACATTCGATATGCCAAACACATTAATAACAAGTCTCACAATGGAGACGTTACTGGTGCCCACTCGAGCAAATCGATGAACAACGAGAGGACAGTGACAGGACGGTGTCTGTTACGAAGACCTGCTGAACATGCTTACAAAAAAAAGCGTTCATATAGGAAACAGTATGAAGATTGTTCTGTTTTGGCAGGAGCCATTAAAACATGCTGTAGGATATCACTAACATGTTGTTAAAGTTTGGGCGATGTGCGCTCGGGCCGAGCCTCACATACGAGTGAACATATTCCTGGACTATGCGGCCACATTCTCGGCCGTGCGACACATCCTAAGACACTCCACATCCATTCTCCATATTACCACACCGTATTTGATGGAGTTCAGACAGTAGGCAACAAATCACAACAGATTTTTCAGAATTGCTTTTTCAGAACAAGCAAAACCTGCATGTTGGTCCCCTGCCCATCTCTGGGATTCCAGAGTCGAAGCTCCAGTTGCCTTTGCTGGCCCCAGAAGGAGCTGGCCCCATGCTCTATGTGCTCCCCGGTCTCCACACATGGTGCGGCCTCACCTACCGACCCCAGCTCTACTCTAGATCCCCCAGACCCTCCAGCAGCACCCCTGAGCCTCCTTCCTGGGGTCCCTCCACAGCACAGGTAGGAAATTCTGAAGTGCCCCCTCCTGGATCCCTGTAGTTGACTCTGGGACTCGTGGCCAGCAGTGTTCCACAGGCTGATTAGGGTCTGGTGTTCCCTACCCAGGGTCCACTCACTGTGATTCTAGCCCCATGAGGCCAGATGTTTGGGGGTTTTTTGGTTTTTTGTTTTTAATTTTTTTAATGAATCACTGTGAGATACAGTTACAGACTCACAAACTTCTGTGCTTACGTTTCAGTCATACAATGATCGAGTACTCATCCCTCCACCAGTGCCCATTCTCCACCACCAATGTTCCCAGTATCCTACCCACCACACGCACGCACACACACATACACACACACACACACACACATGCATACACACACACGCGCGCACGCACACACACACCACCGCTGTGGCAGGCACATTCCCTTTTACTCTCTCTCTCCTTCTGGGAGTTGTGGTTCTCAAGAGGCCAGAGGTTTGAAGCAACAGCCCGAAGATACAGTGTTGCTGGTGCCCAAGGACTGCCCAGGCCAAGCCTGGGGTTCCCAGGCCAACCTTGGGGTGCTCTGGGACCCTCAGAGTTGCCTCTGGCCATGCTCTTAGCACCATCAGTGCCAGGGATGCAACCAGGGTTGGCCACATGCAAGGCATCTGCCTGACCCCCTGTACTGTCTCTCCGGCACCAATACGCAGGTCTTCATGCTAGCACCACGGAGTTGCTATTTCCCAACAACTTAAAACATGAACGGTTTTTGGAACTCCACATGTCATCACGGTCACGGTCACGATCCTCCCGTTGTTCATCGATTTGCTCGAGAGGGCCCAGTAACATCTCCATCGCGAGACTTGTTACTGTGTTTGGCATATCGAATACATCACGGGGAGCTTGCCAGGCTCTGCCATGCGGGCAAGATACTCTCGGTAGCTTGCCGGGCTCTCCGAGAGGGGCGGAGGAATCGAACTCGGGTCGGCCATGTTGGCTGCGTGCAAGGCAAACGCCCTACCGCTGTGCTATCGCTCCAGCCCTCACATGTCATCACTGGTTAGTAATTTGCTTGACCCGTTTATTTTGAACTAAAGGCAACAATAATGGAAAGATATTACAAATAACAGCCAGCCCGGTTCAGTCCTCTGGCATCCCATATGGTTTCCGAGCCCCTCCAGGAAGTAAGCCCTGCACACCATGGCATGTGGCTCCCCAAATATAAATAAGTAAGTAAATAAATAAATAAAACCAGGGGCCAGAGAAATAGTGCAGCAGGTAAGATATTTGCCTGACATGCAGCCAACCCTGGTTCAATCCCCTGGCCCCCCTGAACCCCACCAGGAGTTCAGCGCACTGAGCCAGGAGTAATCTCTGAGACCAAACAAACAGCAAAATAATGATATAAAACCAAATTGAGGGCAGATACCAAAAATGAAGCGGTTCTACTGAATATACCTTTTGTATATTTGCTCCTAACACAATAATCCTAATCTTTGTTACGCTTTTTTGTGTAGCCATCCTTTTTTTATTAAAAATACAGCTTTGAGGGGGCAGAGCTGTACAGCGGGTCGGATGTTTGCCTTGCACGCAGCCAATCTAGGTTTGATTCCAGGAATCCCATATGGTCCCCTGAGCACATAATCAGGAGCAAGCCCTGAGCACTGTTTGGACTCCCCCCACCACCAAAAAAAAACCAAAATGACTTTGAGAGGCCAGAGAGATTCTACAGCAGGTAGGGTACTTGCGTAGCATGCCTTGAACCTGGACTTGATTTCTGATCTCTCAGAGGGTCCCTTGAGCCCCATGAGAAGTGATCCCTGAGCTCAGGGCCAGGAGTACACCCTGGGCACAACCAGGTATGATCCAAAAACAAACCAAAAAATCTGGGTTTGAAAAATAGATAAAAAGGAGCCCTAGGGGCTGGAGTGATTGTACAGTGGGTAGGCATTTGCCTTGCACGTAGCCGACCCGGGTTCGATTCCCAGCATCCCATAGGGTCCCCCAAGCACTGCCAGGAGTAGTTCCTGAGTGCAAAGCCAAGAGTAACCCCTGATCATCGCCGGGTGTGACTCCCGAAAGCAAAAACAAAAACAAAAAGGAGTCCTAGCCAGGGTTCCTGCTCTAGGGTTCCCTGCCCAGCCTTGCCTGCCAACCCCGGGGGATATGTGACCAGCCGTGGATCTCAGGACCGGCTTGAATACCATAGGCCTTGGAGCACTGGGAAACTACCTCCCTTGAACTGCACTGATGGGGGAGGCTGTTCTCAGTGTTGCACCTGTCCAGGTCAGAGAGGAACCCGGTGGGGGTCCTGTTATAGCTCTGAGGTCCTCAGGCCCAACCTGTAGGTGTATTTGGAAGTGTGGTGGGGGGAACCCTAAGAAAGTAGATGAGGGCCTGGAGCGATAGCACAACGGGGAGGGCGTTTGCTTTGCACGCAGCAGACCCGGGTTCTATTCCCAGCATCCCATAGGTTCCCCCCAGATCCGCCAGGAGTGATTCCTGAATGCATGAACCAGGAGTAACTCCTGTGCATCGCTGGGTGTGACCCAAAAAGAAAAAAAAATGAGGGGCTAGAGCGACAGCACAGCGGGTAGGGCGTTTGCCTTGCACACTGTGGACCCCGGTTTGATTCCCAGCATCCCATAAGATCCCCGGGGCACCGCCAGGAGTGATTCCTGAGTGCATGAGCCAAGAGTAACCCCTGAGCATCACCGGGTGTGACCCAAAAAGCAAAAAAAAAAAAAAAAAGAAGAAGAAAGCAGATGAGCCTTTGGGACCCCCCACCTGCTTCTGCAAAATTCCCCCTCCCTCCCTCGAGGTCAGTGCTCGGCGGGAAGGAGGGGTGTCGTGAACTAGAGGGGGGGGCGCGGGTGTAGACCGCCTCGTGCCTGCCCCCCCCCTTCCCCCACGGAGCCCCCTGGCCAGCGCACAGCTGCTCTCACTGACTCTGCGGCCGGCCCAAGTGCAGGGAGGCCGGGCGGGAACAAAGAGGACCAGCGGCGCGGGGCGCCGAGGGGAGGCGGGGCGGGGGCCTGCGCGGCCGCAGGCGGGGCTCGGGCTCGGGGCTGGGCAGCGGGGACCGGACCGCCTGACCCTGAGGGTCTGCCAGCCCCGAGCGCGGGTGCAGGGGTGACCGCGGCCCGCCTCCCGCCTCCCGCCGTCCGTGCCGCCGCCTCCGCCGCCGCTGCCGCGTCCGTCCGGAGCCGGTGGCCAGGCCCGGTAAGTGCGCAGGGGGTTGGGGGGTGGGCGCCCACCTCCCCGAATCCGCGCGCCGCTTGGGGCGAGCTGGTCTCCAGCTGGGCCAGGCCCTGGGGGTGGGGGGTGGGGGGAACAGGGCAGGACGACTTCGGATGAGGGAAGGAGGCCAGGACCTCCCTGCACTCTCAGCGCGCCCTGCGGGACCCCCAACTTCTGTGCCCACCCGCTCAAGCCTTCCCCTCGCCCTCCCTCCCCCCGTGTGCAGGGAGCGCGCAGATACCCCTGCGCGCAGGCCCGCGTGCTGAGCGGCCGCCCCTTTTCACAGTGTCCCCCGCGCCCCAGATTTCCAGACTTTTAGGCACAGAAGGCTGGAGGGGACAGGTCCCCAGTGATCCCCGGGACAATCCTGCAGCCCGCCGCCTCCCCCCGGAAGCCCAGGCCCGGGTGGGATTTGCTAAGTGAAGGGGACCCTCGGTTCACAGGTGCCCGGACCACCTCTGTACATTGAGGGAACCCGCCCCGCACCCCCCACCCACCAACCTCCCACCAAGCAGTGATCAACTGCCCCTTTCTGTTTGTGCAAGTTGGTTGACTTCGTGGAAGGTTCTGGGCTGCCTAGTTGGCCCTCGGAGATAGGCAGTTGGGCACTCACCCTTCAAGGAGCTGGGAAATGCGCACCAGAGGGTTGAGTGGGGGCAGCCCCCAGGGCACCAGAGGGACGGGGGAGGGGGGGGAGAGGCCCCCAAGACCCATTGAGGCCGGGCTGGCATTAGGAGGCATTAGGCTGGCATTAGGAGGAAGCTTCTGGAGAAACTGAAGTTGACTTTAGGGCCTGGGTGCAGGAGCAAAGGCCAGGAGATAGTGAACGGGGGATAGACTGTTTCATTGAGGATGCGGAGGGGGTGTGCCAATGAGAGACCGGAGTTTGTGGCAGAATTGGGGCCAGGGGAGAGGGTCCCCGTCGCGCTGGGCCTCGGTGTTTTCCAAGCAGATGGGGACTCGCGGAGTGACTGTCCCAGCTGCTGGAGGCTCAGCTTGGTGGGGCCCTGAGAAAGAGCTTCGAGAGCTGGCGGGTCCCCGGGACAAAGGGCTGGGCTGAGCCAGAGGGTTGGAGCTGAGTGGGAGGCCAGGGAGGTCGTAGTTGGCTTGTGCTTCCTCCAGGGCTCTCTCTGCACCGTGCTCCTGTGCCAGCTGGCCAGAAAGTCTGTCGGAGAGCTGGGCTAAGCCTGGGGGTGTTGTGGGTGTTGTGTCCACCAGCCTTGTATACTATAAGGCTGCCCCCTCCAGCCTTGAATGCCCACAAGCCATGTATGGGTACAGGTGCCGTGATTTTGGGGGCACAGGTTTAACCGGCCCTGAGCCGCAGGACCGCTTGGCTCTCCAGAAAGCACCCTCCCAGGGGCGTCTGGGTCAGATGCCCCCACCCCTCAATTTGCTTTTATTATCCCAACAAAAGCAGCCAGGAGTGCACCCCACAGCCAGTTAGAATATACGGGGGGCAGGCGGTAGAGGGGTAGGGTACTTTGCTTTCATGCAGCTGACTTCGGTTCGATCCCTGACACTGCACAGGGTCCCCTCAAGCCCCACCAGGAGTGACCCCTGAGCACAGAGCCAGGAGAGAGGCTTGAGATGGCTCAAAAACAAACAAACAAAGTGAAAAATGAGAAAAAGGGGCTGGAGCGATAGCACAGCGGGTAGGGTGTTTGCCTTGCACGCGGCCGACCCGGGTTCGATTCCCAGCATCCCATAGGGTCCCCCGAGCACTGCCAGGAGTAATTCCTGAGTGCAGAGCCAGGAGGAACCCCTGAGTATCGCCGAGTGTGGCCCAAAAAAGCTAAAAAAAGAAATACGGATGTTGGAGTTGGATGGTCCGGGTTAGGAACCCCGATCCAGAACCTCCTGGGGAGGATGCGGGGGGGGGGGCGGGGGGAAGGGGGCCAAATGTCATGGCGTGTGCTCTCAGGCTCCGCAGGGGTGTGGCAGTTGCCAGCTCTCCAGCGCGCCTGCCCCCAGCCACATCCTGGCGTGTGGCCTTGTTTAGCAAACACTGTCCAAGGAAAGAGCCTTGGCCCACGGCCCGCCTGCCTGGGAGGGAAACCAGGGTCAAGTCCTGCCTCTGCTTCCTCCCTGCTGGCGACCTGGGCAGACGTGATTTACAACCTGGCCGTCTCTGCTCAGCTCCTGGAATGGGTCACTTGGGGTCGTTCTCCTCGTTTCCACTTCCCTTCTTGGCCATCTGCTCTTGCTCACTCTAGTGGGGACAGAGTGCCTGGCTGGTTGATGCTTACGCGCTAAGGGCCAGAGAGATGGCCTAGTGGTCAGGGGTGCCGGTGTCAAACCCCACCACCACATAACCCTGCCTGCAGCATTGCCAGGTGTGAGCCTGGGGGGGTCTCTTGGTCACCGTGGGGGGTGACCCTGGAAGCCCCGAGCACTACAGGCCCCATCAGACCCACACACTCAGGCCAGGGTATTGAACTCCCAGCCTGGTTGGCCAAGTTTCCCTGGGAGCAGCCTCCTGAGCACTGCTCGGGAGAGTCCCATAGAAATAGAGTGAGAGGTACTTAGGCAACGAGGGCCAGGGACCGAGCATGTGATGAATCTTTCCCAGCCCAGAGCAGTCATAAACACTGACTCCTGACCCCCCCCCCCCCCAGTGTTGGGTGGGCGAAGCCTCCTGCAGGGAGAGAGGCACAAACAGCCTGTAGCGCTGGCCAGGGCACAGCTGGACACGGGGGCCCTGCCTGGGATCTCTCCTGGTTACTCCCAGGGCCTCCTCGGGAGCCTCAGACACGCTCTCCACATCCTTGTGGTTGTGGGGGTCCCTGAGTCAGCCCCAAAACACAACAGAGGGGCGGGGATCACCCACTCTCCTGACCAGGTGACCAGTGTGAGGGTGGGGGATGGGTCTCTGTGCAGCTGTGTCTGAACCCCTGTCTCCTGGGTTCAGTGTGGGGGTTCATGGCTATCCACTGGTCCCCGCCCCCAGGTCAGCCAAGTGTCCCTTTTCTGCTTTGGGATAGGCACCCGAAGGGGCGTATTGGTGGGGAGGCCTCCCCAGTTATCCTGTCCCAACGGGATAGAGAGAATATTCAGGTTGAGGCTTTGCTTTCCCCCAATAAGCACAGAATTCCTCTTCAAAGCTTAAGGAGATTTAGTGTAAAAATACCAAGAATTCAGGGGGCTGGAGCGATAGCACAGCGGGGAGGGCGTTTGCCTTGCACAAGGTCGACCCGGGTTCGATTCCCAGCATCCCATAGGGTCCCCCCCAAGCATCACTAGGAGTGATTCCTGAGTGCAGAGCTAGAAGTAACCCCTGAACATCACCAGGTGTGACCCCCCCCCCCGAAAAAAAACCCAAGGATTCAAGAATCAACCACTCCAGACGTTCCGGAAATGATGAGGAAAATTGTCTTGCTGGTTCCGTGGTCAGTTATAAAACGGCACCCTGGACCTCCTTGCTGGTGTCAGGGGGCAGTCCATGTACCTCTTCACTCATTGTTCCTCCCCAAGATTCTCCTGCCTCCTCTTCTTTTTCTCTCTCTAAAATGGACTCTGAGGTTCTGGAAGATTCCGTGGGCTAAACTTCAATATGATTGAAAATGTGTTTCTCCACCTGAAAAAAAAGAATCAAAGACTGTATAATGGCTTGTGATGACTGCATCGCTCCCCACTTTTTAAGGTATTTTAATTTGGGGTTCACTGTGGGCAGTATTCAGGGCTTACCCCTGACTCGGTGCTCAGAGGTCACTCCTGGTGGTACTTAAGGGATCATATATGGTGTCCGGCCAGGGCTAGAGCTGGAGGTTGGCCTTAGGCAAGGCAAATGCCTTAACCTCTGCTCTGCTCTCTCTCTCTCTCTCTCTCTCTCTCTCTCTCTCTCTCTCCATCTCTCCCCCTGAGGGCCCCACTTTTTGCTGTACTCTACTTTTAAAAATCATTTTATGAGGACCATTTGCCTTGCATACAGCCAACCTGGGTTTGATCCCCAGCATCCCCGGGTCCCCCGGGCACCAGCAGGAGTGATTCCTGAGCACAGAGCCAGGAGTAACCCCTGAGCATGACCAAGTGTGGCCCAAAAACAAACAAAAAAAAAAAACAAAATAAAATCATTTTATGGAGCAGGGACAATAGTTTAGAAGAAGGCATTTGCATTGTCCAGGTCTGATCCCGCTTTGATCTCTGGTGCCACATAAGATTTCCCCAACATCCCCACAAATGACCCCTGAGCACAGAGCCAGGAGTCAGTCAGCCTGAATACTTCAGAAAATGTACCAAAAGTTCTGGGGACAAAAATCATTTCCTGGTCTTTGCTAACCAATTTTCATAGGCTAATTTTCTTAGTCTATTTTCCATAACCAATTTTCTTTTAACATCCAGAAAAGGGCAATGGACAGGGTGGACAAGTGATGTCCCGTTGGTCCACGGTCTGAAACAGGTTAAAGTTTCTGGAACCTGTGAGGTAGCTTCAGGGGCTGAGCACATGATTTGCATGCAGGAGGAGTAGTTTCGAACCCAGCACCCCTCGGTCCTTCTAAACCACCAGGTCCAAATTGCTCTAGGTAACTAATTACTCTGGAGCACAGAGTTGGGAGTGATCCCTGGTCCCCTGATGAGCACTGCTTACCCAGTCCTTAAATATTGAAATGGTGTGGCTTGGAGGCCAGCCACACATGCTAGGGGGAAAGGGAGCTCAGATAGAGAAGGGAGCACCAAATAAAGGGTGTTGGGAGGATCCTCCCAGGATGGGAGAAGCATGCTGAAAGTAGACTATAGACCAAACATGATTGTCACCCCTTGCCTCTTTTGCAAACCACAACACCCAAAAGGAGGGAGAGAGAGAGAACAAAAGGGAATGCCCTGCCACAGAGGCAGGGTGGGATGGGGAGAATGGGGGATGGGAGGGATACTGGGATCCATGGTGGTGGGAAATGGGCACTAGTGGAGGGATGGGTATTTGATCATTGTATAATCAAAACCCAAGCACAAAAATTTGTAAGTC